CCCCCCCTCAGGGCGTACGGAGGGTTAAAACCGAAATGCGTCGGCCATCCCTCGAACCGCACCAGACTGTCCCTGTGGTTTTTGCACCCCGCATAATTTAGCAATATTTGATCATTTTTGCATAATTTCTGATTATTTTCCTTTATTCTTCTGTGTTAAAAATTAACAGAATCGCAGAAGTTTACAATTTTGGACTCAGTTTGAATAATTTCAGAAATTTTTTGTGTGTGCATAAAACCGCGGGGACAGGTCAGACATTTCACGTAGGCTTGAACGTGATGAGTCCTTATGACATAAAAACTTCGCAGGAGTCCACCAGCCTCGGGGCCAGCCATAAAGTTATCTCCTATACAATAGTGTACATCTATGGGGCCAGCCATAGAGTTATCTCATATAGTAGTGTACATGTACATCTATAGGGCCAGCGGGCTGATTATGGTGACGCAAGGAGGTTTTACAGTCAGGTCATTGGTGACGCCAAAATAATTATTTTGCCCGCCGGCCGAGGTGACCAGGGAGAGACAATTGAGCAGCCAACGAGTCGGTGTCTTTCGTCAAGTGTGGCATAGAGAAGACTTGAAGACTTCTGGTCTGGTGGCCTCCAGTTTTACGGTCTGTAGTTCCCTGGCGTTCTGGCAGGGCAAATTTGGATTGTGCCCAACGCGCACACTAGGCAGATGGCGGTGTGAAGACGCAAATTCCGGCAAAGACCGTGTAGTGTATGTCTTTGATTCCGGTACATAAGCCTACTATACATAATATCTATCCTACTATCAATCTAGCCAGCTAGCCATTAAATAATATAATATTTTCGTTCATAACTAAAATCTGACGGTATGCGGGGCTGGTGGTATATTAACAGGTGGGGGGGGGGGGGGCAGGTGCAACAATTAGTTGACTGTGTTGGTTTTACACAGCACTCTAGGCCTAGCCCTTGCTGGTGAAATGAAGAGCACAGCCATTCGCCATGCGAAAAAACTGGCAGGCGATATTGACGAATAAACATTTAAATGCGAGAAAACACGACTACTCTATTAACGTAATCGCACACGCTTTTGTTTGGAATGGGGAGATAACTCTGCCTGAACAATGAACAAGGACCGAGAGTCAAGGTGTGCGAGTCCAGCATATTAAGATTCGAGTCCAGACTCGAGTATCTGCTCTGGACTCGAGTAATTACTCGAGTAATTACTCGAGTC